CCGCGCCCTGCGAGGCCGTCATCTACACCACGCAGGATCCTGTGAATAAAGTATTTTCTCTCTCTCTCTCTCCAACGCCGATGACGGGAACGGGAGAGAACGAAGCCAAAGAGAGAGAGTGGCACGTTTATTGACATTTCCGCCTATTTATTTCTTTCTTTTTCTCTCATCGTGTACGGAAAAGGTTCTACAGGAGACGCGGATAGGCGTAGGTATGCAAGCATGTAGAGTGCCAGACACCACGAGTCTGTTGGCGAGAAAGTTCGTCGCCGGAGCTTGGCTCCATCGAATGGGAGAGCCTCAGTTTGGTCGAATCACTAGAAAAAGGATTCGACCAAAGGTGGAGAGGGTGAATTAAGAGGTGGAAAGAAAAAATGTAGTGATAATACCTTCTGGTTTTAGGGGCGAAGCTCCTTATAACGGCACCCGTTCGTCCCTCGTAGCCGTTGTAGTAGTGTGTAACAAGTATAACATTTTGACCTCCAAGGTGGTGCCGGTGGGAGATTTCTTCTGTGCGTTGTTGAACAATAAAGGATAGTGCTCAATGTACACGCCAATGGCTGCTAAGGGGGAGTGAGAGACAGGATAATTCGCCTTTCAGTTAACGCACACGCTGCGAATTTTTTATTGTTCATCAACGCACAGAAGACAAGAAAGGATTGCTACGTTATACTCGCTGGGCGTAACCTCCTAGGTTTTAGAAATGTTTAGCGAGCTTTGGGCTGCAGTGCCATGAATACGGTGAACTAGTATATACCATGAACTCGAGGTGGTTAAAGGTGGGAAGTAGGCACGAAGCGCAAGCCGTAAGAAAGTGTACGTGTGCCTCCTCTCGTTCCTTAGAATGTCCGATGGATGGCGGTGCTTCTATATGAGGAATATATGATGAAAAGATGCGAGATGGTGGTACTTGGAGTGTTGAATAGGTGGACGAACAGACACACAGACAGATGTATGGACGGATGCACGGATGGACGCATGGACAGACGCAGGAGCGGATGCATGGATGAAAGCAGGGACGGACGCACAGATGAACGTGCGGACGCACGAACAGACGCACGCACGGACGGGCGGATGGACGCACGGGCGGCCACACAGACCCACGCATGGATGGACGGTAGCAAGAACGAATGGACGGACGGATGCTTCGCCCCACTATCCATCATTCACTCCATGGATATGCTGCCATTTTTTAACGTCCTCGGATGTGATAATGACGGACACTGTAGTCGAGGGCCCCGGAAATATTGAAGTGGTGTTCATTAACGGATGCCTAAATCCAAGTACATGGGTCTCAAGCACTGTCGCTTCCGTAGAAAATGTAGCAGCCACGGCCGGGATTCGATCCCGCGACCTCCGGGCCAGCAGTCCAGCAACTTAACCACTGAGGCGGGTGAGAGGAAAAGTGACTGATAGCTCATCGTGCACATCGTTCTGTACGCGGGGACGAAATAATTTTTTAAGCGCATGTTTCTTTTTCTTTTTTAACGGCGAAGCTGTTTAAATTCACCTGAATTTCTCTCTTGGAAACAGAAATAAACGTCATCATAAAACGACACTTGCTCTCTCCCCGCTCACCTTCATGCTCTTCTGTTTTCTTCCCAGAACAAGTGCGCCGATTTCTCCTGCATGGCTTGTAACAATCTTGATGGGTGAAAAAACGAGGGCAGAGAGAAAAATAAAGATGTATGATGAAACAGAAACATCCTTGCCGGAAAAAAAAATCACGAAGCACGATTTGAGCCCGTCATTCAGCAGCGGGGGGTCCCAATCATTCGGCTATCAAGGCCCACTACCGGAGTATAGCACAGCCTTGTATAGCACAGTGTTTCAAGGGTCGAAAGAGGAAAGTCAGCATGAGAAGGAGAGATGTCAGAGTGAGGACGAGTACAGAAAAGCAAAGCACAGGAAAAGGGAGAAAAGGAGAGAAAGAAATGCAGAAAAATGAAAGAGAGAAAATAAAAGAAATAGAGGGAGTTAAATGAAGTGAGCGATAGAGATAGAAAAGGATGGAAAGTAGGAGGAAACAAGTCATTAATGGAAAGACAAATAAAATGAAAGGAATGAAAAAAGAAGAAACAAAGAGCAAGCAGAAGAAAGAAATAGAGATAGTAAAACAAATAAAAAACAGATATAAAAATATGATAAAAAGAATAAAGGAAGAAAAATGTAGAGGAGGAAAGCAAAAGAACATTTCTGTGTTTAGGAAAAGTGGGTAACGATTTAGAGTACTAGTTTTTCTACTATGGCAAAGCTTAAAGCCGTCCCGTGGCCATAGGGAAATTTCCCAAGAGTTGGCTGCACTGTGTGTTTAAAAATAGTAAGTAACGATTTAGAGTCCCGAGTACTCTACAATGATAGTAAACTTCGCGAGACAACAACGGCCAGGAATCCGTAGTTACGCAGAAGCTGCGCTGTTTCTTCAGCATTGCGCCCCCGCTGAATGCTATGCTAACTTTTTTGCTCGATTGGCAACGTAGGCATGAAACAAAGTTATCTCCACGCTTTGTCAGTGTGCTATGCGACAGTAAACATATACACAAGGAAACCTTTAATCGAGAAAAAAGTGTTGCGACAACCATTGGTAAGAAAGACCCAAAATATGGCAGACCACATAGCTTGAATAAGCAGTCCTCGCATTCTAGTGGGGAAAGTTTTGGGTCTTTTGTCAGAACAAATGAGGGGGTCTGATACCCCGGGCATCCTCCTGACTTGAAGCAATAGTCATCACTTGCTTTACCCGGCAAAGCAGGAAACAAGGCGAAGTGTAGGAAATGAAGGTCCGGAAACGAAGTTCTGGAACCACAGAGTTAATGTGCAGTCTACTCATAACCATATTGCCACATTCCTTCCTCAGGTTTTGTTATCACCCGTTACACTGTAAATAATTGTTAGCGCAAACCTCGCCTGCAGTGGTTGAGAAGCTTCGGGACTGTAGTTGATCATTTCGTTAAGATTGTGCGCATGACGCAAACGTTACAGATCATTCTGGAACTATACGTAGTCGCTAGTGATAGCGCTTGAATATTCGACGGTACGTGTATAAATGCGGACGCGTTTCACTGCTCGCCATTTGCTGGACGGCCGACGCTCTGCTTGCCGATATCAGAGCTAGCGTGTTGCTGTAATCGGACTTACCGTTTACCGGTCATACCTGCCATCTTCGACATACAGTCTGCTGCCTTCGTGAGCTTCACGATCACGTGACAACATATACTCACCTGTATGGCTGCACTCACTTCCATATAGCCAATGTAGGTCGACTACTCGAAGCGACAGCTGGAGGACTGGGTGCCCAGTGTTGTCCGTCTTCATTGCATATAGATTGAGAACTCGTGCAGGACGTCCCTACGAGTTCTGGCTTACAGCGATTGAACAGAGAGAGTGAGAGAGAAACGAAGCACAAAGAGGAAATGCAGGGAGGTTAACCAAGCTTGGCTCGGTTGGCTACCCTACATTTGGGTGGGGGAAAGGGGGAATAACAGAAAGTACATAGATAGAGAGAAAAGACGAAGAGTAAGAAAGAGACAGATAAATAGTCAGTTCGAGAATACACAGCACGGTCTCGCGCTGGTCGTCGTGAAGTCCGGTGGTCCTCAAGAGGCACAAGAGAGCTTTCGTAGTTTGAGCTGTATGCGAGACCATCGGCCAAGGTCCCAGAATATTCCTTTCTGTAAGTGGTCGTGAATCCAAGTGACGGAGCTTGGCTTTCATTTCACGTTTTTGAGTTCGGTATGATGAACAGTGTCATATAATGGCGATTTAACAGAGATCCTCGAGATGCAACTGGTACAAAAATGCCCCCTCCCCCACTCACTGCAATAACCATTAATCCACCAATCATCATCTTCTACCCAATAAAGACTTCATACATGAAACTACGGATGAATCGAGTTCAATTGAATGCAACTTATTCGGTTCTGAGAAACGTGACGAGGGCCTTGAATCATGCATGTGTTGTTACAAGCCGTAAATATTTATGCTTATTTCATCGAGGAAAACACAGTCTTAGACAGATATTCGAAAAAAAAATATCACTGTTGCTAGGAAACCGTTCTCGCTGAAAATTTCTCCGAAAATTTTTGCTTCCCGCAGTGTAGACAATGACAGCCATTTTGTGCAAGATGTAAAGTTATTAGTATGTATATAGGTGGACTGTGGACTTCCCACAGCCTGATGTTGCGTATGTACAACGTGGTACGCGCATCACATTGCAAACTAGGAGAGTAAGTCAGATATGTAGCGAGTTTTATTGATGTACTGAAGAAGTCCTCCCCCCACTTTCATTGAGGGAGGACCACGGGCTGCTCTAAAGTAAGGATCGACTAGGCAAACCCCAGTGCCGTGTAGTGGGTCTTCTGGACTGCCTAGAGTTATTGGAATAGTCCTGACCATTGATCACAGCCGGAACGTTAATGCCATTTTGTGGAAGAATTTAAAAGAAAGTAATAAGGAGCTTGAAGGATGACACTATACACTGGCCGTATGCATTCACCTTTTAGACGCAATCGAGCGCAGGTTGCATTCTTTTAGACCCGAGCGGGTCAGTTGTGTCTCACATGAACCCCCAGACTTATCGCACATAATGACTCCGAGATAGGTTCCCGCTCACATGCCTTAAATACAGAGCTCCTTGACATTCTCGTAACAAGACGAAGCAATAGATTCAAACTACACAAATGAACATTTTAGCAAACCTTTCAAAATTATCCAAAGTTTATCTTACGCTCTAGCAGGACCCTTGATCTCGTTCGCACCTTGTGGGGGTGCAGTGAAAAGCCAGTGAACAGTGACACATTTCGAAGTAAACGAACGCAGTACATAATATAGCAATATCAAGTAAAATATTGTATGTAATTAGTCTCATAAAAATCTTTTACCTCAGTGTTGTTGCTCAGTATAGCTCTCCAATATTGAGGTGAACCGTGGTATGCAAGCAACATTTATGCAACTTTATCCCCCGTTTCAAAAAAAAGCACACCTTTTTCAGGCAGTGAGAATTTCGGAGTAAATAAATCAATTTTTAATGTTTCATTAATACATTAGACATTTCAAGGGAACAGGGTGGCGATGGTTAGCACGGTACGCATTAGCACAATGTCAAGCACCTCGAAAGGAAGAACCACGTGCTGGCTCGTACAATAAGCCAAACTTTGAGTTATCGCAGTTACGGAACAATCTTTATGCATTACCGGTTGTATGGTAATAAAGAGGAAACGGCAGAAAGATGCACCATGATGTACTCACATGGTATAGTGAGCGTGAGGAAGGAGTTGTTATAATGGCATATGTATTGTAAGTTTCAGTCCGAAGAGACGTTTTTACGGAATTGGGTAGTATTTATAGCGCATATACACCCAAGTCTGTACATATCTGTTTTTTTAGAAGATACATATTATGCCCAACATAAACTTGCTTTAATGTCCGAGACAGACACTCAACATCAAAAGGACGAACTTTCTCTGGTTCATTGCAGTTTTGAGTTTTAATAATGTTTCTATTCCACACGCACTGTCCCATTGGCAAAATTTGTCAGAAAAGGTTAAACACATGAGGGATAAATGGTGTTCATATGCGTATATACTGACATAAATATAGACAGGCCTTCTCTTTCGATGGCCAAGCGGGGCTACTATTAGCTGCTGAAACACATCACCAGTTTAACACAAAACAACGGGATCTTGGCGCGACGAAGATTTGAAGCGACCAGCTGAGGGCAAATGAAGCGACAATTAATGTTGAGTAACAGTTTTGAAAAGTGTTCATGTTCTCACGGCAACGAACTGGTTCTGTACACTGAGCACTTTCGCGTTTACACACTGACGGTCATGTCTTGCAGTCCTGTACAGGAGATCAGTATACACCCTGCACTCTGAAGCATTGCTGAATGTTAAGTCCCTCTTTCGGAAACATCAACTTCAGCAATATAGATCACTTATACCCACAGGTAAATAAGCGGGAGAGCTAGTGAATGAGCACGCTATGGTAATTTTGTAGCCGTGGACTTCCATTAATTTTCCAATCATTTTGCTTCGACGTGGTTCCTCAATACTTACCAAAACGACTATACGTGCCAGAATAGGCGCGCATGGTTCCTTTGTTTAGACTGATTGACTTTGAGCGTTGGCACGCTGTAAACTTGATAGATCCATTCTCAAAGACGACTTGCAGCATGCGCGTGTACCAGTTCGTCAATGTTTGCTTAGCCGTTACCGGACACTGTGCAAACTGAACCAGTCTATAGATAGAATGCTTTATAAACAGCAATATCTCCATTGTTCAAACTTGGTAATGTGCACATATTGCTACAGTGTCACTTGCGAAACAAGGATAGTATGTAAGGATACATACTCAATAGAGCTATCACGATGGGAAGACGGTTTGACTCATGTGCACTGACAAATTCAACTGAAGAGACCGCAGTGTCACAGTTACTGCACTGTGCTTGTCTACTGCAGTCTACTTTCATGCTTTCCCTCTCTTTCTCTTCTACCACCATTCCCTACCCCACGTGCAGGGTAGCATGCTGAACAAAGTCTAGTTAACCTGCTTGCCTTTGCTGCATTCTCTTGACCTCACTTTTTTTTTCATTTTAAATATTCGATAACAACGCATAAGTTCATTCATCCGCATCACGGTACACTACAGGATTCATGGCCGTTCTTATATAATCAGCCTCGAATCAACGATCCTCTGCGGCAACCTTGCAAGTCTACAGCTATGCACCTGGAAGCACCAATACTGAAGGTGTAAACGCGTCGAAGGAGGGCAAGGGAGAGACAGAGAGGCCGAGTGCAGGCGCCACAGGGTGTACCATGCACAACCCAGAATGCGCCGTGCGCCTAGGGTATACAGTTTCCTGAGATGCGCTTAACTTGTGTTCGGTTGAGAGTAGCAGAACAGACAGAGAAGACACGGCGAAAGCCACATGGGCTTAGCATACAAACAATGGACGACACCACATGCAGTTGACAACAGCGGTTACGGCACATCCCATTGGCACAAGTATTTTCACAATGGGCAAGCTTTGTCACATGTCATCAGAAGGTTTCACAAACGTAGGCTGGCGTTTTTCACTACAAATGCAGACTTATAATGCTAAGAGGCTAGATTTATGGTCATCATAATAACAGACTTGAATATTTTATAGTGATTTTATCTGCTAAGCTATTTCGAAACATTTTTTTTTCTCATAGGATAGAGCAATATATGTTTGTGCTTAAAAATATATATAGCCGCAAATCGCAATCTCGCGTCGTTAAGGTTTTCTAAAGAAGGAACATAAACGCTGCGAATAGTGTTCTGAAATCACTTCAGCTACCAAATTGCAAGCCTAAGGGTTCTATTTCTCTGACTTATCCTCAAACATGACAGTAATTAGCACACATTAATGCATTCATGTCACTCTGCTGCACATATACACCTGACAAACCAAACAGTCCACTTTTCACAAAGGAAACATACGACACGATTCCACATTGACTGTAGCATGCAATATACGAAAAAAAAAAAACAGTTGCAATTGAAAAGAGACACCCTGTACATCATTTGTGCACCATGAGACCTTTAAGAGCTTGCGCTGCTGAATGTTAGTTCGCAGAAGAAGCATACATCCACGCAAGCACCGAAAAAGGTTACGGTAATTGTAAAAGTAGTTGGAAGATGACAACATTAATGGGAGACGGTAAGACGTTGTAGTCAACCGTATCTTATCTAAGCAGCAATACTTCCGCGCAATGCGTCGATGTACAGGACAGATATATCAAGGTATTACTTGACACGACCTGTAGGATGACATTGCAAGAGGTTCACAAAGGATGGATTCGAGAAACCTTTCTAAGACATGTAACAAACACAACGTCGCACCATGGCTTTCACAAAATTCAACATCAGCACTACGTAATCGCTTTGTTTATGAACATGGCGATAAGCCCTCTATGCAAAAAAGAAGACTACATCTCCCCCGTATGCATTTAAAGGTAAACTAAAGAGCAAAACAATTTTCTCGCGTATTAGTAAGGTACAATTTCACAATCCTGCTACCCCATTCTTGCCACGACACGACGCTTGGTAAGCGTGAAAACGCGCGTAAAGAAAATGCGGGTGGAAACGGCACCTTGATGTTCCCGCGCCAAACACCATGACGTCACAAATTCTGAAGGTGCCTACTGGGTTCTATGTATCTTCTAATGAATAAAAATGAAGTAAATTGCCATCTGTAGGTGCCAGAGACCTATCATACGAAGTTTCAGAAAATCTCATACTGTCAATATCACAAAAATAGGAAAAAAAAAAACATTTTGCAATTTTATACATCACTCATGGATATTTCAGAGTGAAATTCAGAAATGAAACTTCAACCTCGATTTTCTGCCATAGTGATGAGCTTATAATAGGGAAACATATGTCGTTAGACTTCTCACAGTGCAGTTTTTCTATCTAAACGAAGTCATTGTTTCTCTTTAATGTACCTGTAAGCACGAGCCCAATGTTTCCGTAGATGTGTCAGTAGCATTCCAATGGTCAAATTATCCCTGAGAAAAGGTACAAAAACCACTCGTATTCAACTCCGACCCATCTCGGAGCAACTTTGGCTTACTCATACGAAATTAAAATTATGTTGCATTTGCATTGCAGGAGTATACATAAAAAAGAAGGAACTTATCGAGAATTGTCACACTGACATTGAAAATAACTCATACGGGAGATGCTAATTTGTATGGTTGACAGGCAAGTAAAAATATACGTAGAAATACGAAATATACTTGGGCACAAAAAGTGGTGCCCAGTTTCTTATAGCTACGACAAATGGAATAAAAATTACCTCCACTTAAAAAATGAACACGGTAATACACAGGATTGTATGTAACCATGAATAAATGAAATGTTTATCATGTATTTTTTGTACATAACGTCAATAAGCTTTCTCTAAGCAGTATTCGCTACTACATTAGCCTATCCAATCTGTACATGTGCACACACATGCAATTAGTTTACCTTTGGGCACCTTTTGATTTAGGATAAAATGAATTCTGCCACAGCTATAAATAAAAAGTTTGTTTTGAATATAAAAGTCTATCAAAATTCTCCTTAACTATGACGCCTTATAGTTATTGGAATAAAAGTTGTGGCATTATTATTTGAACGAAGCACGAATTATCAATGTTCTGGCGAGCTGTGAAACTTTTATCGTGAGTGTGCCGAACATTTAGCAGTTTTTAGATTTATTGCTAATTTAGCAAATTGTTTTACGAGCTCAGACATTACGCTTTATCACCGGTGAATGTGCGAAATTGCTTCCCTAAGAGGTTTTCGTCTTTCCACTAGTTTCTGAACATTATTTTTACTGTTACCTGAAACAGCTGTATCCCATATATAATATGATAACAGTTCATAGTTGCGATTGTTTCAATCGAGTATCACATCGTCACTACTACCTACATTGCTCGACCACCTACGCAACTCTTAAAAATTTTAGGGCCACAACAACTCATCGAATGACTTAGCGATAGGTACTAAGGGTGTTGCGTGAGATTTCATGCTCCATTGACTGGAAGCAGTACCCTATTCACGCTAGTACGGCATGAGGTCCACATGATAGATCATTTCAACGTGTACACAAAGGTACAGCCATGCACAAAGATCCCTTATTTGGCCGTGGAAGTTGAATATTCCAAGCAGTGTTAATGATAGTAACCTTAATTGAATCGACAATATCTTGAACCACTGGCGTAAAAGAAACTCTACTGAAGAGCTTGCCAAAAATAATGATCAGGTCAGACGAGAATTGGACATTTCTGAACATCTCGTCAAGTCATTGGATTCGTTTGAGCTTTCTTCCTGTCTAAGACTAGATCAATACTTGCCTAAACAGCGATCTATTTGTTTTGTTATCTGTTGATACGTCAATACTGAGACCTACGGCATCCTTCACAGATAATTGGCATTCTGAAGACCCGCATTTGGTTTGTCCGACGGCGCGGGTGGCTTTCGTTTCGGTGCAATGCTTGCTTAGGAGGTGACGTCGGTGAAGTCGGAGTTCGCTTCAGCATTCGTTCGGAGCTCGGAGTCGAGTCATCGTCGTCGTTTTATCCTGATCCACGTTTCCGCTTTGTGCTACGCCATTGGAGTCGTATATTTCCCTCCTGGTACACGGACTTCAGCCTCGACATCCTGAGCAGATAAAGAGGAAAGAAATTAGAGTTTTACAAGATTGTTGCAAACATGCACAGTAGACCGCGCCTCCTGCTCTGAATGTCAGCATTCGCTAGACTGTCACGAACAACAATGACTGCTGTTTACATATCGACGTATTCCACGAGATACCCCTTAAATTTGTACACAACAAAGGCCTTACAACATATATGGTGCAGGTATACACGTAAGGTATTATGCTTTAAGGACAAGTCTCCATAGCAACTAAGTAAAGTACAGACCAATTGTGGCAACTTGTACGCATATGGGCTTTATTTGGTTTTAGAACGTTTGGTTGGAGCGCACGTGATCGGCGAAAAGCCCCCTTTTTAATGCTGACAACTGGAGCCACTGTCAAAGCGCTTGACCAAACGTTCGAAGATTGAACGAATACTGAACATGTGCAGGATTTCACCTCGTAAGCTGAATGCCAAAAGGTCACTGAAGTATACAGTCAGTGCAAAGAATGTGATAGTGGCAAGCTTGTATTAAATAATTTTACGGTCGTAACTTAACTGTTCACCTCCCGTGTAATATTTCACTTGAAGCACCACTAAGCATAGACCCGCTTTGCGCACTGTTTTAGAGCATACGTTCCACACTAATAAGTGTAATAATGAAAAATGTTGCCAAGTGGGTTTCTTTCTCAAGACTACCAAACATGCGTGCCGGTTCCCCATATTACTTGGTTGCAACTATATCCGATTCCTGAAGGTAGAGGCGGCACTGCAGTGAACACTCTTGCGAAGTCTACGACTCTAGGTCAGGGCGAATGGAAGCAGCGTAGATACGCGAAAAGCCCGCTATAACATACCAATATCTGTAAGCTCTAAATGAACGACGACTAACACGAAATCGGAGGTTCAAATAAGGGAACGGAGGCATGCATGGCGTGCTACGAAAGTTCGGGGGATTGAGCGCGGCTGCTCTGCGAGGGAGACCGCATCACTATGGACCGTATGCGGCAGGCCTGTTCAGCGGAGACCTGCCTTCTCTTTATTTCTGTTGGTACGGCTCGTTTCGCATCTGTTTTGCATAACGCGAGGCCGTGGAAACAATAGTGGTCACCCGCTCCCCGCTTCACCGACGCCATTGCCAGTTTTTTCGCCCTTTTCTGGTCTTTCCTTGCCTTTCTTTCTCTTCAATGTGGTTCCCCTCATGCACGGCCCGTTAGCTCCTGCAGCACGCTCAGTCTCCAAATTGCAGGGGGAATCGGCGAGCGGACCTGAAAAGGGGGCTTCCATAAAAGCGCTCAACTCTTTGTTCGCTCGTTTCGTGTGTGTACGTTGGGAAGGGGCTCGTTTTCCGTGTGATGTAGCGTGTAAGAAAGAAGAAGCTTTTCAAGGGTTGCTCGATTGCGTGGCAATCTGCGTTCTACACCTCCCCATGGCTCGCCCGTGGTTATAACCCGCCGCCAAAGACTCACACGTGCCGCGCCCACGACAAAGAAAAACGGCTGTTGAGTTACGTGGACGCGGCGGCCATGTGCCAACAAATGAGGTAACCGGCAACACTGAATTTGTTCGGCGGCGATTGTCGCTTTTCTCATAATTGCATGCTCCCTGACGTAGTTTGTTGACGCAGCCCATCAAACCGAGCGAATGCAATAAACAGGGCGTGTTACCGAATGTTTATATAACGTATCTGCACGAGTTACACGAGCTCGGACTTCACTTTCCGCTTGCATAACTGGTAATGAAAAAGCCTGTGCTTTAGACGGCCCACGTAATATTGCGATAAAATACTGCAGCTTAAGCAGCTACTGAACGGAATATAGACGCAATTGTGAACGCCAGAAGACGCACCACTTCCATCAAACGAACAAGCAGCACCTACCCGCCTTCATTACTTTGCAGAACCTTTTTGTGGGAGCACTAGAGAGTCAAACAGTAGCCCATTATTCGCCAGCAATTTCATATAGCCCAAAATAATATCGCCAAGATGGCGGTAACTTCAAGTAGCATGCTTACACGAATATGAGGTTTAGATAGGTGGTGGCAGGAATTGATCGCTAAAAAAAAGGGGGGGGGGGCGGAGGGGTTAACACATGCGTACCCGGACACAAGAGAAATGAAACAACACAAGCGCATCATGGCTTACTCCCGTGTACTTCGACACAATGAATTCCTATAAAATAGCTGAGCTTTCTGCCGTTCAAAGCTTCATTCAGAATACACTGAGCACCTAGCCATACTATATTCATGTCTACAGAATCTCACAATTTTCGATGTGAACTGCAAAAATCTATGTGTATCGCTTACTTCTCTTTTCCTTGTACGGGCGCGACACACTTCTACTAAATAGCCTATGCCTTTGAAGCACAGCGGTGACAAATATCCACTTCGAAATTGCATTTGTAAATTATGTTCTACCTGCAGTTATCAGTGTTTAAAACTACTTTAACTGCACCTTTACTGTGATTTCTGGTCACCCTATAATTCAGCTCCGTCGTTTCTTTAAAACATACGTGCTGCCCAGACTTCTGGTTCTGTTGATGTGCTGCGACTGCATACCGATTCGCTTAGTCGCTTATAATTTTTTTTTTGCACATCTACGAGTCTCGTCGTACAGCAGAGTTAGCAGAGTATTTACTTTCATGCCTTGATTTATAAGATCAAAAAGTGATGTACTGCTCCTGGTGTAAGGGCTAAAATACTAGCAATGTCTATGCAACTCCTTGCTGCTGTTTTGTGACTCCCGTTTCTGTTATCGAGGTAACTGAAAGCTCGTTCGAAATTGCTTGTACTATAGCGCTTTCACAACAGTAAAAAAAAAAAAGAACTTCCTTTTCTGATATGCAGTTTTTCCAGCTAATGGCGGCTAGTGGTTGCAAAGAGCGCGTTAAACGCAGTTTAGCTCGCGCTATAATGCGGCAAATGCAGACTAAGCTCTCTCGGCATGAACACACATAATAGACAAACTGCAGCAAGTGCAACACCTCGTCTCCACTTGAAACACGGCGGGAGGCGCTATTAGTTGCGCGAATATGCAGCGCATGGAAGTGCACTTACAGATAATAGAAATGGTCTCTTGAAGCATCGTCGTTTCTATCGTCAACTCGTCCGAGAATAGAGAATATAATACCGTCCCTCATTGACTATATCTACTGTAATATTGAGCAGATTTCTCGTGGTTTTTCCAGTATAAATCAGTATATAATCTAAAGACTTTTAAAGGCCCATTATTATGACTTAAAAGCTGACGTAGTGAGAGAACAAAGGATCATATGCTCTCGACGACAGAGTCAATTTTGGTATGCAGCACTTTTTTTCCTTCTTAATCGTAGTCCCTCAACGAAACCAGTTGTAGTTAACTGATAAGTCAGCGAAAGCGAAGTACTGCTGGAATGTGGCTACAAGAGCCGTATTGCATACGTTTTGGTAATATCTGTTCAAGCACAGTCAATAATTATTTTATTATTTATTTTTTTTAGTTTACTTTGGGTGTGGCAGCTTCCTGGTGCACTCAACGCCACTTATATTTTCAAGATCAACAGTGTTTCCGTGTTAAAGAATTGTCATTAAATATAAATGCAAAATTACATTTTTTATAACTAAAACTGTGAAAGGTTATGGCTACGTAGAGTTTGCATACAGTGAACGAACTTTTGACAATTATTGTCAACCAGGAACGGAAGTGACAACCATTCTATTTGCTCGCTAGCTAAAATCACCACCCAGAACAACATTTGAGGAACGGTTCTATAGCATCGTTAAAATGATTGACATAATCGACCTTGCTATAATTGAGTATTAATGCCACGAATGCAATCTCTACAAGCAGCGCGATAAATCAGCAGACAGTGGCGGTATAGTTGAGGCGTACGAATACGATGGCGCGATCATTATGGCAGCCATCCCAGTCTCCTAATGATTTATGATGCGTTGAGCTTCCTATAAAGCGGACTTCACGCTATATACTTTCGAAGCGATACGAATAATTTCCTTTCACGCAAGGAAAAAAAAAAGTGGTCTCGTACGATATATCAAGCATGTTGGTCTAAGGAGTGCTGAGTTAAGGCGTAGCGGTCATTATACTTTACAGGGGGGGGGGGGGGGTGATATCGCATGACGGCGTCTGAGTGCCTCTTTCCTTAATTAAAAATAAGGGCCATGCCACCTGTTATTAGCGTATACAGTACACCTTACGCCTCCGCAGAAAGTCGGGACACCGGGCGCTCGACTAAGTACCTCCATCGGAAGAGGCAGAGCCAGATTGATGAACCGAAAAGTTTCACGCAAAGTTTACGAGGTGGTTAACTCTGACGTTGTAGCGTCTTAGTGGGAGCGCTAGCTGAGAGCGTGGCGGTAAGCATGTCAGTGATCGGTGGGAATGATCACTTCAAGAATTTTGAAAACTCCGCCATTCTTTCTTCACGCGATATTATGAGCCTTCAAACCGTTCGTTTGGAGCTCAGCAATGCGCAACTGCAAGGATATTCAATAATTCTGACTCTGCACACTCCCTTATTGCTTTCCGCGTTTGAAGATGTATATCTCTGTTTCGTTATTCTAGTCGATCTCAGCTTCAGCGTTTCTTACGTCATAGTATTATAGCAAAGACATTGGATGACCAGCAGTGTATTACGGCTGACCTGTGATCAAGTTATATATTATTTTCAACGTCTGCAGGCTCCCGAGTTTCTCACTTAAAGAACATGCACTTTTTTTTTTTTGTCCTTCAGCCTATGAATACAACAGGCCGTTACAAAAAGTTGAATAGTGGCATTAGGACTACGCCTGGTGGCGTTCTCTTATTGGCTACGACTACTGCTTCGAACGAAAGTTCATGCTTTTAACTCAACTGCTCTTTCAACCAACCAATTGTTTCCAACGTTGAAACAACCCGTCAGGTGATGTATTGGTTTTTTTTTTCTATCTTTTTGATAGTCTCTCAGGACATAATGAGCTATAAAGAATCGTTGGTACTGGTTGAAAAAAAAAAGAAAAAAAATATTCAAATGCAAACGAACGCAACGG